CGCTATGAGTCGGAAACGACTCGACGGCACATAACAACAACAACAACAACAACAATTACAAAATGAGCAAAAGACATGGCAATAATTTTCATAGAGGAAGATACTCAGATGGCCAACAGATACATGAAAAAAATGCTCAAAATCACTGAAAATAAGAAGATGCAAATACAAATCATGGAGAAATACTATCTCACTCTACTTGCAGTGGCAAAGTTTAACCAGACAGCAAGTGTGGTAAGATAGGAAGTTTGTACACTGTTGATGTGATTGTAAAGAGAAAATATGAACTGAGGAACAAACTGAGACTTGCACACCAGCATTTATAGGAATATTTTTCATCATTGAAAGAACATGGTAACAGCTCAAATGTCCAACCACAATAGAATAAATTGAGAAATTATGGTACATTCGCATGATGAAATACTACACAACATGCAGGACCAATGATTTCGAAAATCACTACCTAACTTTGAGGCACTGGAGAGCATTGTGCTAAGTGAACTAAATTCTGTAGGGACTAATACTGTATAAAACCATTATTTTAATAATAGAACGATAACTAGTAAAATGTGTATGAGGATCCAGTGGGGGAAGGATGTGAGCACAGGGGTGAGGATGGGCTGTGGGGGTTAATCATAGGATTGCCTAATTTGATGAGTGGAGGGAGAGATAGTTAAAGGAAATGGGAATAATCTGGTGTGAAAAAGGATGTTCATGAACTTTGTAAGTAAACCAACAGAAAATAAAAATTTAATTTAATTTTAAAAAAATGGGGAAAAAACACCCCAACCTGCATTATGTAGATGCGTAAGGGGCAAAGAATATAAGGGGCTGTATCCCTGGGATGTGGCTGTGTACCTTGTACACAGAGGAGTCTTCAGAAGGAAGATTGCAAGCAGCACTCATGAGGCGCTCTGAGAAGGAAGATTATAAGCAGTTCCCATACTTCTTTAGACACTGACTCTTGTGAGAGTAGAAACAAATGTTCTTGCTCTTGATAATGTTGTTGCAAATGTGAGAAAGCACAGTTTATTAATACAAAGAAGTCTTGCTTGAATGTATGTCTTTCAACTATCTACAAGAGGACCGACTAGTGTCACCAATACATTGAAGAGTGCTATCTTCAGAGACATAATTCTTCCCCCAGCCAGAGAGAAGAGACCATTCCCATCCCAATGAAATGTGAGACCTGCCTCAGGACATCAGCAGCACCCATGGCTGAACTGGGGAATTGACTGTCAGATGAGATGAGACCTTGGTGAAGAGGAGCCAATATTGGCAGAATTGAGAACTTTGTTGGACAATTGTGGGTGGGAAGTCAATGTTGGCAGATTTGAGAACTTGAAAACACTTAGAGAGCCATAAGTCTTGAGGTGGAGGTGCCCATGTGCACATTTTGGGAGCTGAGCTATCTTGACTGTATTCTGTTATTAATCTGAATTATAACCTTTTTTTAAATTATAACCTTTTATTTCCCCAATACGGTTCTGTGTGGTCTGTGAGCTCACATTGGATTTTCAATCCAGTTAAAGAGTAAGATAGATTTTGAGATGAGAAAAAGATTTAGGGGAATGTGGGGAATATGTCTGACTTCATGGGAATTGGTTTTGTGTTATTGATGTTGTAGATGGGGTAGTTATTCCTTGTGAATCTGACAAAGATCAGATATGGCACTCCCCATATGGCCCTTGTTCTTTTTATACATATGTCTATACTGAAAACTTCTTACCTACAAAATAATAAATTCCAAATTTGTTAACCAGACACATTCCTGTTTGTGTGTCTTGACTCAGGCTTTGGACATTGTATGCCCTACTCATCCTTACAGTCAACATGAATCATCTTTTCAAATAAGCCTTCTCTGATCTCTATGGTTGCACATGATCTGTATGTATTTCTTCTATATAGTCTAATCACAAATTTGTGTAACTGTGTATTCTCACGATATGTGCATACAGTGTATTTTTCATCTTTAATGTTTTTAACTAATTTAATCTTTCATTATAGAGTCAATCTTTAAGACCAGGATCCATATCTGTTTTCATATTTCCATAATATTGGCAAAGTTTATGTTCAATGAATAATTTTTTAAGAGAAACAGAAACTGATATTTCTAGTATTTTAAATGTATGCTTCCTACTATTAATCTCATCTTGGCCACCCAACATAGGTTTCTTTAAAAATTACCTTAATTGAGAAACTTTTTAAATATAATTAAATATTAAAACATGTATCAACCTCCTTTACTCTAATTCCATGCTGATAAATCTTCTGGTAACCTGAATTCCAATGAAGCTTTCCTCTAGGGAAAAAATGTTAGACAGCTGATGATTCAATTCTTCAAAAGTAATAGATCTTACTATGATAAAATTAAATGGTCTCAGACCTCTGGATTAGTAGCCTCGGGATCAATTGGTTTGCATGTGATTGTTGTTATTGTTAGATGCCAGTTGAGTTGAATATGACTCTTAGTGATCTATGACAGTGGATCTGAACCCCGTCCTATCCTGCACCATCTTCACACTCCCTGACACACTAGAATCCATTGCATCAGTCACCACATCAATCCACCTGATTGAGGGTCTTCCATTTCTTCACCAACCCACCCCCTTTCCAAGAAGCATGGCCTTCTCCAAGGACTAGCCCCTCTTAGCAACATGCCCAATGTATGTGAGGTGAATCTCATCATTCTTGCCTCCAAAGAACACTCCAGTTGCACCCTCTTCAAAACATTGTTGCTGACCCTCTACTTTTCTTAGAATTCTCAAAGGTAAAAATAACAAATAATTTTCTTGCATAGGTAATCTTCAAAGTCATAATCATATAAAATGCATATTTATTCTGGCCCTTCTAAAACTTTTTCTAGTCATGACTTTAGAGATGTGAATTAGAACTAGTATACCAATAAATTGTCTTGAGAAAAAGACAGAGAAACATGTCACTCATCGCTTAAAAAAATATACAAAATATTTAGCAACTGAAGATGCATCAAAATGTTAGCCACAATATATTAATTTTAAAATATAATCAAGAGCAATGACAAGTATTAACTTACCAGAGATTCAATTCTTTCACTCAAAATTCTGTATTCTCTCGTACCTGGTGAACTTAACTGCTCACTATAGTTAACATTTAAGATTTGAAAGCTGCTGCGGTAAAAGTAGGGTTTTTGGTCTGTAAAAGAGAAAAAGGGCAGAATGACCATTTACAAAGTAGTTTAATATTTATATATTTTGTATCATTGAGGCTATAAAATATAATTTAATAAATTTCTTTCCCTCAAATGAAAGAAACTCTATCTACGTTTAATATAATTTTAAAGATAAAATTTGTTTTTCTTTCAATTCTTAAAATTTTTATTCTACTGTATTTGATAGATTGGTTCTAAATTGCTGCAATCTGTTATCATGTTTCTGAACTCGTAAATTTCTGTGGGAAAATTTATTCCCTAAAGTTGACTGGTGGATTTGAACTGCCAATCTTTTGGTTAGCACTCTGGTCTGTCATGCACTGGTACACCAGGGTTCTGTAGAACAAATAATTCAAGGAACTAAGGCTTTATGAGAAGAATTAGAGGAAGACTCATCAATAATCTATATTCTGTAGATCATACAGTATTGCTTACAGAAAGTGAAGGAAACTTGGAACACTAACTAAAAAAGGTCAAAGATATAACCTTCAATATAGAATACACTTCAACATAAAGAAAACAAAAATTGTCACAATTGGACCAAAATACAGTGTCATGATAAAGGAAGATAAGAGGGACGTTGTTAAAGATTTCCTTTTACTTGTATATATAATCAACACTCATGGTAGCAGCACACAAAAATCCGAAGATTAATTTCATTGAGCAAATACGTTGTCAAGGACCTTTTTAAAAAATTATTATTAAATTTTAT